ATGTAGTCATTATATATGTACTAAAGGCATGTTTTTTTCTCCCAGAAAGTGTTGTGATTGCATTGGGAAAACTTGTGAGCTGGCTTCATGGAGAAGATGGATAGAGTTAAACTCTGCCTGATACCCACCACATTCCAGAGGCTGTGCGTGCCGCGGGGTCATTCCAGAAGCAGCGCCTCCGTGGAATGCGAGACTCATCACGACGTCGGTGAGTAACCAGTAACCCTTAGTGGGGTGTCTGCAGGTCCTGAGAGGGTTTGCAGCGTTGGTCAGGCCTTCCAGGGCTCTGTGTACACTGAAGCCTCCAACACTGAAACCTCCACAGTGTGACATTTCAACTGTGAGAGCCCAGCTTGCTTCTGTAAGTCCATCTCCTCTGCTGTGTGTGGTTCCATTGCCATGCATTTTCCAGGCTGCATTTTTCCCTTCATTTACCTTGCTCAAATGCAAGTATTTTTGATGTCCCTTTATGGATTTTCATCTCTGAGGATTTGAGTTAGCTCTCCTGTTAGAAAGATCATTTGTGTTCTAGTGCTGTCATCCAAAGTGCTTGCAAAACATCTACTTTGTATATCGTCTCAGTAAACAGGAGTGTTGACTAGAATCAGAACAGGCCCTCTGAAATTCCTGTTAAAAGACCTGTTAGAGTTTAAAGACAGTGGACTCATAGTAATATTCCAGTATTTTTTTATTTTTAACCAGTTGTGCATCCATGCAATGGTGATATTATTTGTATTTTGATGCTCCCAGTTCACTTACTAGAACGTCACATCAAAAGTTATCAAAACCCTTTAAAAAACTGTATTTCATTGACAGCTTCCTTTTTTTTCAGCAGAACAGTTGTCTGCCAGTGAAGGATATTAGCCCACTTGGACATTTTTTATCTTAAATAAAGTAATAATGATTATTTTTATCTTTCAGAGGGCTTGGAAATTTTTTGTTTAGTAATTTGTTCTACTGTGTTTTGGGATGCTAAAGTTTTTGCAATATTCTATTTCATATAAAGTCATTTTTTTTGTATAATAACTTTAGTTTTATTCTTGCCTTAAAAACACTGCTTTGTTTGTAGATCTAAATGAGGTTCTGAAACAAAACTTGTCCATGCTAGTAGTAGTTATGCAATACTTACAGTGATCTGATAAGTCTTTTACTGACACTCTCCCACTGGCTCAGTTTCCTTCTCACTACTTATCTTTTAGGTATTTTTGAATGCTAATTAATATTTATAAAATACTGTGAGTGAAATCTGCACATGGAAAATGCAGTAGAAATTGAAAGTGTCATTATTGATAACTTTTTAGAATGAAAGGCATATTGCAGTCAATGTCAGTGAAGAATTGCTAAGTATGAAAGTAGACCACAGACTCTTAAAAATACTAGAGAAAAAATGGCTGATGCAACTAAACTGAAGGTGAGAACAGTTGAATAACCTGACCAAGGAAGCCTTGTGCTGGCACAAGATGCAGAGGTCAAATTTTGTTAATAATGCTTAGTACTGGAATATTTGTATTGTAGAAAGATAAAAAAGCCCCTTTCAGTGTGTGAGTGATTAAGGTTAATTACCATATGTAACATGAATATTTTTAAAGCAATAGGCTTAGATAACCCAAAGTGAAGAGCTCTAAATCAACTGTCTAAAGAGATCTCATTTGTAGTAAATCCTGATATTTTAGTGAAATTCCAGAAGACTGATAGTATTGAGCCAATATTCAAGGGAAGAAAAAAAAAACACTAAAACAAAGCAAAAACCAGCAAGCAGGATGACCCAGCTAGCTGCATTATGGTTAACATGACACCAGCGTAGAACAAACACAGTACAAAAGCTGATACGAAGTGAGGTAGTAAATGAGTCAATAATTGGCAACAACTTTACTTTTATTAGCATTGTCTTGCTGAGAAATCCAAATTAATTTCTTGATAAGGGTTGTTAGGCTGATTCCGACTGGTTAGTGTAGATATTGCATCATGTTTCAAAAGCAGTTGACCTACCATTGCGGCATTTTGATTTCGATCTTAGCTGAGTTCAGTATCACTAACTCTGCCTGCCAAATGGATAAAGAGTGAAACAGAACAGAACTGAAAGATAGTGAGCAATGGAAGATCATCATTCAGTAGCAGCAATTGTTTCAGAATTGTGGGGTTTAGCATTAGCCTGCTGTTATTTAACATTTGTGAGTGCAAATCAAAAAAAAATAGTCAACTCACAGTGCTTTATGCCTGAGAAAAGTAATTTGGACTTCACCTATGTGGGCTACGTTTGTAGAGACATTTCAGCAGGGTGGGCCAGTGCGGGTGCAGAAGCAGGACGTGCTTTTGTGCTGTGATGCACAGCGAGCACTTACCAAATCAGGTCAGCTTTAGCTGGGAATGTCTGCAATCTTTGGAAACTTTCATCTTTCTTTTTCCTAGTTCACCTTCACTGCATGCTTTTGTAGTCTGTTTTTATTGCTTTGTGGGTTTGTTTGTTTGTTTGTTTGTTTTTGTTTTGACTAAGTTATTCCAGACAGTTTGTAAATGTAAAAGCATCCCAGGTAACTTCTCTGAATGACAGAAAAGAGGTAAATTCCTGCAAGTAGAAAGCAGCTAGACAGAGCAAACAGTGACTTGGGAAGACTGGCTCATTTAAATGAAGATTTTAAATGCAGCCAAGTCCAAATCAATCAGCCTAAGTGGTAAGATCACAGTTCACAATTCTGTAACTCAGGAGTTGTATCCTGGAACAAAATAATGTCAATAAGGATTTAGAAATCCTAACACACTGTCACTAAAGGCATGCAAACAAACAAAATGATACTGTTACAGAAATGGGCAATCCAGTCTGGGAGCAGTGTGTGGAGATGAAGGAATCTAGTCCTCTCTGTGCGTCCTCTCTAAAGCTGGCATAGAGCAGGGTTTTGATGTGTACAGTTTAGGAAGGATTGGTAAAGGCACAGAAGAACCATAAATATAATGTGAAGAGAGAGGAAATGTCTTATAATGATGAGCATAAACAAAATAGATGGAGCTATTTTTCAAAAAGAAAACTGAGAAACTTTTTGATTACATATATATGCTGCTGAGCAGGAAAACAGTGCTGAATACTAAAGAACTCTTTAGTGTAGGAGGATTTAGCAAAAACAATTATTGAAGGCTGAAGAAAAACAAATGTTAAACTAGAGATAATCTTTACACTGAGGAACAGTCGAGAGTATTGGGTAATTCTCCATCGTTTGAAGTTTTAAATAGGACCAAACCTTTTTCTGGAAGGTAATGTATATTTGAATAAAACAAATCTGGATCAATCCAGGAGTAACCAATCAGCATGGAAGAGCTTCTATGTTAGGAAGAAGTACGTGTTTCTTGACTTTTTGACTTACAAAAATTGATGATTAAGAAGAAATACAATAGTGCTACAAAATCATAATAAAGATCGGTAATAAGGAATAGGGACTAAAAGTTCACTCTGTTTCAGTAGACAAACTAGAATCAATAAATTAAGACATGTAGTCAATTAACTAAGTAATTATATTTAATGCTAAAATTTTACATACTTATATTTATTTAATGCTGAAGTTTTAACGTGAATTAGAGGGAGACTGGACAAAAACTAAAAGTGAAATCCATTGGAGTTATTAGATAAATTCCACATCTCGTTCAGGAAATCTGGTCTGTGAACTGTTGGGGTCTGAGAATTCAGAGTATCATTCATGTTTGAACTCTTCTGCTCTGATTCAGATGTTTTTTCAATCAAGAAGGACAAGAAAGAGCAGAATTTAATGAAATAAGGGAAGAAGGACTAGCAGGGCTTAGCAAAAGGCCAAATTCTTGTTCCTTCTTTTAAAACAGAAGAACTGTCAAATTGAGTAAACATGAAATACAGATGTGACAAAATACCATTCTAAAAACAATTCTGTGCTGGTAGGAATTATTCCATTGTTAAAGATACTAAAGAAACTGGTGGGAAGCAGAGCATGACCTAATGGGTCTAGAATTACTATCGCAGCTGTGTGAAACCTCAAAAATAAATAAACATCCCAGAGAAGAGAGTGTGCCGGATTTTTAACATTCTCCCAGTTTAACCGGATGTGCGAAGACCTTGTTTTAACTGTGGGCCAGGCCCTTAAAGACTGCGAGGTGCCTGACTGCACAGCAGGCACTGCTGATTGTCATCGTTTGCTAATGTGGCCTCCCCAGATTAAATCAGTCCCACAGCTGACCAGGGGACGTCACTGCGAAAGTCTGTACAGAGTGACCTGTTTGCTCTCCAGTGATGTCAGAGGGATTATGGAAGCGCAAGAGGAGGCAGGATTTCATTCATCTCTACCTGAAGAGCCCCTCTGGGAGTGCTGCAGATTTTGGGTTTGCTTTGACGGTAACAGTGATGCTGGGAAGTGGAATTTGCTGACAGGAGAAACCTGAGTGCAGTCCTCCCTAGGCAACATTTGCGTTTGTAAGAGATAATTCTGTTTGGAGTCATTCAGTGTGATTAATAACACCTCAAATTAGGCTTCTAATTCATATTGTAGGAGAGTTTTGCGTGGATACTGTTTAAGGTAAAACCCCAGCACAACAGTCTGTGTATACCATGTAATGGCAATACCTGCGTCCAGGGATTTATATAGCGATCCCCCATTTTGGAAGTATGTGTTTGAGATACAAAATAAATAAATCTTCAGTTGTCAGCAACCAGTCCCTTCTGGCCTCCTTCTGCCTACAACACTTCTTCATCTGAGCAGAATCTGGCACACAGGAGCTTGTGACAGAAAAGCTCTGTGTCTGCGCAAATGATTTTGATTGAGCTTTTTGCGCGTTAAGGGCATGGCTTTCCAGAGATTTGGAGTTCTCTCTGCTCCACCCGAAGTCCACAGGAACTGCCTGTGCCTCTCACCTTTGAAAGCCAAGCCCTAAACGTTACCTCTCGCTTCCAGATGTTTACTCCAAGTCACAAGATTACACCTGTGCTAACCTGTTGGGGACTTTTGTGATACAGATGAAGAAAAAAACAAACAGAGAAAGATCAATATAACCAACCAGTGATTTATTATGTTTTCAGAAATAAGGGATAAGGCAGGCTGGCACGGTGCACTGAGCCCAGCCTCCATAAACATTTATCTCCTCCTGACACACATCCACCAACATTCATCTTGTCTCTTCCCCTTCCTCTTCCTTTAGTTTCTCCAACTTGAGGAGTTTCCTTTGGCAGGCCCGTTCCTCACTGCTGCTCACACTGGAGCTTTCCTCCGAGCTTTCGGAGAGGAGGTACTTGATTGCCATCATGTCCTTCTTGTTCATTTGCAAGCAGAGGCAGGAGGATTCGCTCACCTTAAATGACTCCCCCCACATACTCTGGCACATGTCGGTTCCATTTGCATACACCTGCATACCAAATAAAAAGTGCCATTATACTTAAAAATAATTGAGTAAAGTAAATTTATATTAGATTGGATAACACTTTTTTTAAAAAAATTGGTACTAAATGATATTTATGTATAAGAACAAGCTGCAGTCATCCAAACACTCTCTTGCTATGTGCCATGCCTCATCACTTCTGAGAGATCTTAAAATATTATTCAGTCTCGCCACTGGCAAAAGATATTTGCCTACTGCCAGGGCACGTCATTAAACAAAGTGCAAAGTGATGGATGGCCCAGCCCTTTGTTCCCACCCAGGGTCTGGCAGCCCAGGCTGCTTTCTGGGTCTGACAAACACACGCTCCGTGTGAGACGTACAGCTCGTAGCGTGTCAGGACACTCTGACATGTCCTGGGATCGGCGCACTGCTGAAAGCACCAGCCTGACTGTTTCGAAAACCAAAATCTTTTTATCTACAGGCCAGAGAAACCCAGCGGATTCACAGCTCTCTGGGATCTCTCTGTGACTGCTGCAGTGTATGGCATGACTGGGCAGGACCTCACAGGTGAGGAGGAGGGACAAAGTTCAAAATCGGCTTGAAGAAAGAAGAAAAACAACCCTGATTCCCCAGCCTGCCTTCAAAGTGCTGTGTCTTGCGGTGCACAGGGCTTTTGGCTCAAGAAAACGTAAACTGCAGCTCCCTGCGCTCTCTGTAAGTGAATGTGTCCTATTCTGGATATGACCTCATTTTCTGAGGCTTCTCTGTCATAGCACCAGCGCGACCGTGCAGCAGGGAAGTATCTTGCTTGCCAAGCTTACAGCACAGCAACCTCCTGTCCTCCCAGCCTGAGCTTGCCTAAAGAGTCTGAGCTTAGCAGTTACCACATCCAGCTGCAGTGAGGCCCGGATACGCACTTTATCTCGCTTTCTCTTCTTCCATGTGTTTGTGGTTGAAGTTCAATGTTTTCTATTTCAATAAAGGAGACTACAGGTACTCCCAGAAGCAAAGGAACAAAGTCAGGGGCAGGAATGATGGCTGGAGTAGGAGCCTTGTGAATTAAGGACAGGGAGTGTTATTAATGGAAGGGCTCCATTACTGTGTCACTGATTCGCTTTGCCACCTTGCCTGTGTCACCAACACCTCTCTGGAGGAGGCTGTGTTTGATCTGTGATAGTACAAGTAGTCTTTGTGCATGACATTGATTCTTTAATCCTACAGCATTTCTCTCTGTGCTGCCGTTTCTGGATAGTGTGCTGGGCCACCCCTGTCCCCAGGATACATAAAGACCTGATTCTCTGCTGTCATCACATAACCCTGGAGAACTTGCCCTTTCTTTATGGCAGGGGGTTTCTGCAAGAAAGTGGCTCTGAGTGAAAAAAAAAAAAGAAAAAAAAGAAAAAGATTGCTAATTATGTGGATGTGGGAGCGGACCCTGGTAGCTCTGCAGCTCCTGCTCCTGCCACATTTCACAGCAAGTTCCCCCAACACGATGTCTCCGTGTGTCCCTGCAGCCAAGCAGCGCTGACCAGGCTGTGCAGGCAGGCAGAGGAGATCATAACCATCTCTTTTGACTTAGAAATCTGTCCTTTATGGATAATACAGAGTCCATTCCAAATAACCCCAAAGGCTCTGTAGGCTGCAAAATAACTTTTCAGTTTGCACTGGCTCTAGCTGGGGTTCACTCTATGGAAACTGCAGTTGCTGGAGGAAGAGAGCAGAGTCCCGCTACTGTGCTGGGAGCCACAAAGGGAAAGGGCAGAACATCTACTTTCCTCCTTGTGTTCTCCCTGCCAGCAGATCTTAGCTGTGTCTTCCCCTCTTATTCCTGCGCCTTTAAGCAAGAACCATTATCCATCAGCTTCTGCACAGATCCTGGATTTCTAACAGTTTCCAGTTAATCAGTTCAGAAACTATTAAAAAAAAACTGTCATGGGTTTTCTTATGTCCTTGTGTAAGATTTTTTTTGCATGTCCCACAGACTCTGTAACTTGTATTCATGCTTTTCTACCTGTTAAATTAGTCATTTTATTTTGATCTTCCTGCTAACTCTGTTTAAACCAGAGTGTTGCCAGAATGCTGCAGCAACCAAACACAGTCCACAGCCCACTTATCAAACCTGCCCCTAAATGACTGCAGAGGTTTCTAATTCCTCAGCTTCTTGGACAACGCGCTAATCTGTGCACTAACACCACTTGGGCCTGCTCTGCTGGGAAGACAATGCTACAGTGTGCCTCGTAAAATTTAAAACAGACCAAATTAGGCAAAAATTGACTGTGATCCATTGCACGTTCTTAGTATTTAACATTTGTTCCAAATACTCCTTACAACCACTTACATATGTCAAATATAGAGCTGCTGATTGCTCCTCCATATGAGCTAAGGACATCTAAAGAAATAAAGCATATGTCTACTGTCTCTGACAATAACTTTTGTGCATTTTATGTAATAGTAACTTTCCTTCTATGAATTCAGTCCAAATAAATAAGTCCAAGTGAGTCCATTTCCCTTCCACATGTAAGTGTTTTTTTTTTCTTTTGTTTTTTAGGAGAGAAAGATCAGTGTTCTTGACTATTACAATGAAATAGGTAGACTGCTTTTGGCTTAGGCTATTAGCATTTTAAATTTTGTTATTATTTAGTGTAGAAAAGAGGAAGGAAAAGTTAAGATTTGGTAATTCTAGCCAGCAGAAACTTTGATTGAAAAGAATGGCCATGCACTTTATGTCATCATTTACATCTGTACAAGGTATGTAATTCACTGCAAGGGTTACCAAAAGAGCTGTTAATGCCTATAAGGAGCACTGCTAAGGACTAGGGCTAGGTCGTGTTTCAGATAGTGCAGGAAAGAGGTGGCTGAACACTCTGTGAACAGTCTTTACCTGCACACATCCCAGCTCTATCAATGCTGCCTGTTTACACAGCTGCAGGTGACCTTCCTCCGCAGGTCCAATTGGAGGTGCAATTCATTTTATATCTCATTGTAATTAATCCTAGTATGGTGCACATTTTCTCTTCACTGTACCTCCCTGTGTCTTTATTGTATCTCCCTGCTTACATTTGTTTTTCCATACAGCTATTATATATTAATTTCTTCAGTTCAATCACTTCTCTTGTTCTCTAATGACAAGTCTGTATGTCTACAAACTTACAGTTAACTAGTACATAAAATGGGTTAAGACTGTGGATTATGAGGAGTAATGAGTTATGAGATAGCTATATAAAACAGTCAGCTGCTACTAACTGTCAATGTGGTGCAGAACAAGCTAACACCAGTGCTGTACATGTTAAAAGTAATTCTGAATAGAGGAGGGGGCTTATCTGGGTAGAATAAGGAACCAGAGACTTCAGAAACATCTAATCTGAAACCTTCAGGCAAAGAAACACAAATTGCTCCAGTTATCCACTTAGAGACCTTACATTTCATGAGTCTGAGTCTGAACAGTCGAAAGGCCATATAAAGATCTCTTTTTGTGTTATTTCCAGCCTTCCTCTCCTGTGATCTGCAGACCAAGTCTGAACAACCAATAATTCAGGTAACTGAGAAAGTTATGGACTTTTAGAGATGTTTTTAACTAAAACAATTTTATAATATTCATCATCCAACAAAAAAAAATCACAAACTAGTCTGGATATGTCATTATTAAGCTAATGTTATCAGTTAGGTGCTCCACTGGGACACGTATTAACTAAATATATTAGGATATAGAAGGTATATATATATAGAAGGTATATATATAAGATACATATTAGGATTGAAGATGTTTCGGTTTTGTCTGCAAATAAATGGTTATTGCTTGAAAACTGATGTAGAGTAGCAGGGAATCTGTTTTGAAGGAATATGGTCTTTACTCTCGCTTATCACACAAGCTTATTTTGGGTGAAAAACATGGACAGTTTAGGGTGTGGTTCCACGTTTCATTTAGGAATGGCTGCGCCTGGCCTTAAGCGATAAGACTTCTGGATTTACTGCATGTTTTTCCCTCTATATGGTATATTTTCTGTAATAAATGAATATAAATGAATTCAGGGTTGAAACCTTCTATCTTTGAACCAGGAATAGCTTGAGGAGAGACTGGAGATTATTTATAGAGATTATTATTTATCATTTGACTTTTACTTCAGCTGGAATAACTGCTGAATTAGCACATCTGGGAAACTCAGCTGTTAGTTTCCTCAGCCACTTGTTTTTTTGGCCACCTTCTTCAGGCTGATTAGTGTCACTTCTGCAAGGCAGCCACCCACCCTGCGCTCATTTGACTGTGACTTCCACTTATATCAGTTTCCAAACTGACTCCTGTAAGTACGAGAACTTGAACCGCATTCAAACCAATGAATCTCAGATCTCTGCAAGCCCAGGCACCAGTCCTTAACCACTACACATTATTCCTATGTTGTTTTGAACAGTTTGCCCGTTCTCAGTGAAGCTCAACTCTTAATATTCAAATAATTATAGCAGACTTGAACTGTATAAACTTGCCCTGATCCTAAACTTAAGTATGTTACCAGAAAAAACTCTTATCTGATACTTAAAAGGTCTGTGGATCAGGTTCCAGGCAATTTTGTTCCTGGAAATCTTTTCAGTCCTTAGTTTATATACTTTTGTTTGTGAAGTTAATTATCCCAACTGCTAAACTTTCTCAGAATGATGGGTTGTGCTTCCAGAAAGCTGTCAGTGCTGCTCTTTAACCACCAGAGAAGACTGGATAGAACAAATGTAGCTCTGTCTAGCCCTTTGCAGGCTCAATGGTGCACAGATATGGGGATGTGGAGAATAAAATGGAGATAATTAGAAGAATATAAGGAATTTGAGAGGAATTTGGAGAATGGAGTACTTGAATATAATAATGTAAAATAGAGAAAAGGGCAAGGAATGCCTGATAGGTACGAAAACCTTACAAATGTCATAGTCATTTGGGAATAGACGTCCCAATGCCAAAGGAGAGAGGCAGGTAAAGCCTTATGTCATGTAAGGAGCTTTGTAAAATGCAACTCTGTGTCTCTTTCTGTTGTATGACCAAAGTTCATTTATATTTTACTACCTAAACCCCACTGTGTTTAACATCCTGGGACTGTTTGAAATTTGTCACTGGACTTCTACTTTTGTCTCCCAAATAGTATGGATGGGGATAAATAAATGTATGATAAATGTGTGTATACAAGTTTAGAGAGACAGAGCTACATAAATATAAAAGTTTTAAAATTTATAATTTTTAAAAATCTGGTTGTAGCTCGAAATTGCTGAAGTAAAAATAATCTAATTGTTGCATTTTATACCCATGCATTCAAGCAAAACCCCCAGACTTTTAAAGGCATATTTGCTTGACCAGGTTTTCTTACCTCACTGTATGGGACGCATTTATTCTTACAGTGGTTTACTCCACTTTCGTCCCATTCCCAGTCGGTCAGCCAGTTACGAACACATATGGAATCATCTTTGCAGGCTTCATACCTTCATTGAGATTATTGTGGAAGAAAAGTTATTCTGTCAGTGTTTTCCAAATCAAAACATTTACATGGGCTATGCTAGTAACGCAGAATGATCACACAGCACAGCTGAGCAGTGCACATTGTCTTAACTTACATGTAGGCACACTCTGAACTGGCTAGGAAGACCTAAATACCAGTGAAAATTAAACAGTTTAGCCATTGCATTTCATACTCATGAAGGACTTACGTTGTGAGGAGCAACACTCACTGATGGCAGCGCCTGCGGGTGTTACTGAGTGGCAGAGGGTTTCTTGCGTGGGAGGGAGCTTTACTGAAAAAGGGGAAACCCATAGGCAGAAAATCATACAAACTGACAGGGCGTCAGTCCTAGAATCATACTGTCCAAGAAGTTAAGCAGGAAGAGAAGAAGGAAAGTTAAGGACCATGTAGGATATAGAGTGCAATTTTTTTATATTTTGAGGTTTATTTTAGTGATAATGTAAATAAATAGGCCGAAACTTGTAAGGGGTGTAACTGGTGGGTCTATGTAATATGGCATCACATGACTTATTATCTTAGATCATTTCCTTCCTTTAGCTTCTCTATATGTTCTACTTTTTGGCTTTTATTTTCCCTAAGGATCGTCTCCTGCAAATAAATAAACATTTTTAGTTTAGTCTCAATGGCTTCAGGCAGATCATTCATACCACTAAATAAGAGTGCCCAAAGCCATGAGCCACAGACTTAAAAAAGTAAGTTCCATATGATATTTACAAATAAGGCATTTAGATCTCTCTTGTTTTTCTGTATCCTTTTTTTTTTAAATATTCAGGGTCATGTTTTCAGCACTGATTTGAAATCATGAGGACTGCAAAACTTGTATTGGAAGTGAAAGACGAGGTTAGCCTGTATTCACCTCGCTACAGGAGCTAGACATTGCAGCACACCTGCACATGTAGAAAGGTAAGAACACGCACAGCTGGAGCTGTTTGAGCTTTCTGTGCTACAGACCATCTTTACTGTATAGTGCCTGGAGAATGAAGTCACAGCCTGCACCAGGCTAGGTGTTCTAGGTATTGGTTATTGCAAATACACGCACTAATTACAAGTGCTTAGGCCACTACATGCGCATTTGAAACTGACCTTTAGTACTTTTTATTGAAGTGGTGGCTAAGTGATTTTAAGCGTGTTTGCAGTACAGCGCACACAGAAGCTATACAACAGGATTAAAATGTTCCTGCCTCTTGTTTTGCAGTTGAAATTAGCTTTCAAAAGTCAAGATTTATGCTGAAGGACTGATCGGATGTAAAACATCATTGTGACTCAGTGACTTATTAAACACCTACGTGGCAAAAGTTCAGCTTTTCAAAGCTGCTCTTTGACACAGTGGCCTGAACACTAGAAAACAGAATCCTACATATTACAGTGGTCATAAGACATTGCTTTCTTTCCAAAACAGTTTTTTTTTTTTCTGTGTTTTCGCCTTAGTGGCAGGTCAAGGACAGAGTGAGTGGTGGGAGAAAGAGCAATGCCAGATGAACTTTAGTCAGGGTTTGGGCTAAGCAGGTTTGGGGCAGAAGACAGAGGTGTTCCTGTATGTGCTCATCCATGAATCTGCTGCCAGAGCTGGGGGCTCTGCTGGAAATACAGGCTGCAAATTGGTAAATTAACATAATATGACACTAATAGGCAGGTCCTGCCAGTTTGTGTCATGACTGAATTTGGGAATAGGGACTATAGGAATAATTGGTTTGTTAGTTGTTAGCTGCTGTGTATAGTCTGACCGAGAAATAAATACAGAGGTAACTCCCCCGTGAGAGCTATTTCTCCAGCACTATTCACTTTACCTGCTTGAAGGCACATCATAGTTAGGAGCATGAAGATAAAATTTTTGTTAACCAGTGTTTACGGACCCTCCACATACCAACATCAGGCTCAGCAATCACCCCAGATTTTTCAGGCCATGTAGGCTTGCCCTTTACTTTGAGCATGCACTTAAATCCATCGCTTTCCAGCAAAGTAGCTCAATATATGCTGTGAACTGCCTAATAATAGCACTTCCACTGGAAGCAGTTGTGCCCTTTTCCAGAGTTTTTTTGTTTGTTCATTTTCTTTTCTATTCGGGTAGGTATTTTTCAGCTTCATGGTTTCTCTGATCGGGGTTGCTCTGAGCAGCCTGGGGTTGGGAGAGGCAGAACTGCTGCTTTTGAAGTCAGTGCCACCTTCAGTTACACATTTTAAACTTGGGAATATGTATTGCAGAGTTTCCCTGAGCTGAAGCATTTATGCCAGGGAATCTGCATCCTACGGTATCTGAAATAGGCCTGTCTGTAAGATATTTTTAATTTTAGCCACTATTACCTACTGAATTGTCATGTTTCCTAGTTAGGATCATTGCCTGCCTCTGTAGTTTGTTATATAAGCAGGCAGTGAGGCATAATTCTATTTTTATGTTTTTATTTTCTTTAATCTAGGAAGTAATTATGAAACTAAGAAACTCTCTAAGCTGAGAAGTTGTCACTTCTGAAAAATATGAGTCCTGTTGTTCAGAAACCCTTAAGTGATTTCTATGAACATTAATCTAAACCCGTGAGAAACATAATTATTTGAAAGATCCTTTCCTAGCATACTAGCTCTCCATGCACACCTTGTAGGATATTTTTATTTTAAAGGATTTTTTCCTTCTTTTTTTTTTCTTTAGAATTGTCCTTTTGCCTTTTAAATGGCACAAGGTCATTTCACAGGTGGAACAGAGAGCATTTTGCCCATAAGGCTTTTTGAAAAGCAATAGTTTCAGGACGAGTAGGAGCAAGAAATCCTAAGACAATAGGAAGAAAGGCAAGGCCCTAAGCTAGTCTGATGAATTTCTTTTAAATGAAGTCACTGCTCATTCAGAATCCTCTGCACATTTCTGGCCACAAAGACATACAGTATGCAGCAGGCACACGCACGGCATGTAGAGAAAGTAGGTCACTTCACTAGCAGTGCTACAGCTCGCTAAAAGGACTCCAATGAATAGAACGTGAAAAAACGTTACTTTAAATTGCCAGAAAAAGTGGGAAATCTGTCCAAGCTTTTTTCCTAGCCTCTGGCCTTGAGCAGGGCGAGGAAAAGGGATTGCCACTGGCACTGGCAGGCACGCAGACTGGCATGCACACTAATGGGTCATCTTTACATTTTGATTCAGGCTGGGCATCCGTGACGCTGCTGGGGCAATAGATCATTGTTCAGTATTTGTTTAGAGAAGAGCCTCCTCTTTGCCAGGAGACTCAGTCCTGGAAAAGGGACTGTTTTTCCCGTATAGCAGCTCTCCATGTGCTGCAGCGCATATACTTCCCAATAACAAAAGCTATAAAATGCTCTTTACCTGGAGGTTCTGGTATATCACAAAATCCTCAGTCTTGTGGTGTAATATTGAGCCACAATACACATTTTTGGCCTATGGGATTTCTCATGGATACTGAGGCTGGTTTAAATCACTATAAAATTTATCACTATTGAAAGACTTTTCAGTGGATGCAATCTGAATTTACAGGTTTCTGTCATCTTTACGCTTCTATTGGATGTGGTAACTTGATGTTGACTTTGTTGTGGCAACTGAAGTGGATTCTACTTACTTTATTTTAGGTTTTGGCATTCTCTCACTTTGTCTGTTAGAGCTCATCTACAGCTACAGGAACTCCAATGCCCAAATACTAAAATCCTTTCAAATTTCATAATATTTGCTTCCAAGGTTCTGAGTACTGAGTCAAATTCGGATTCTCAGTCCTTATCTTCAAGGCAGCCAATAATCTGGATTCAGCTTAAAAGATTACCAAAAATTGAGGATGGAGATATGCAAATGACAAATCTGTTCCAGATAAACATGGATTTTCCTAACACAGAAATAAAAATCATCACTAGAGGAAATTCTAGACAAGCTAATAAATATATTAGCCCTTATCACTATCTTCCATTGCAAATACAGGTTGTGTTTCTTTTTTCCTTCTCTGACACAGAGCAATGCAGACAAATTTAAAGACATATCCTACAAAATACTGTACTGCATACATTACTTTCCTCTTGGACAGAAGATGAAAGTGAAAATGGATCCAAGTGTCAAATAATAGTAAAGTTGCATAAGCACTAGGGAAAGCACTGCACTGAACAGCACAAGCCATGTACTACCATGTGTTCTGTAAATGCTCTGCTTCCAAGAAAAGCTCTTGTATAACATTTTTAGTTGTATTAAAACAATTTTCCATGATTTTTAAAGCAGACTAGGGGATTCAGACATCCACAGTTAATTATTTTCAAGGAAAGTCAGCAGTCCTAATCCTATCGTGTGAACACAGCCTGTGCTCTTTATACTACATTTCACACCAATTTACCCATATGGGTAAGCACACACCCAAAAGACAGTATTAAGGTGGTGCTGGGTTTTACATATACAGGGATGACATTAGTTAAGATCTAACATCTCACAACAGTCTGGTGAGCAGAAATGTACATTAGATACAGATTACTAAAAAAAATCTCAGCACTCCACCTGGATATAACGGTTCTACCCCAAGACAGGTGATGGGCTGTCCAACTATTTATGAGTCCCTGACCCTTTATTTGGGAAATAAAATAAAATGCTGCTATGCTTGTTCATTATTTTTAGCATTAGTTGGCTGATGGTTTCTCTGAAAGTCAGGCTTTGAGACTTGGTGTTAGCAGAGAGGGATACTGGAACCAAGAGGAAAGGCCAAAAGTAAAAAAATGAACCTGATTTGTTAGACACATGAATTTAAAACCATAGAGGAAGCGACTGTTTTCATGATTTCGTAGTGCACCTCATACATAGAGAGATAAAAGGAATCTATCAGGAACAAGTTTTTAGAATCAAAATGCTAACTGCATAATCTGTATCTCAAAATGCAGACACAGATTTTCTGCAGCCCCCCACTGCTGTGAGTGGCCCTCGATGAGGGGTGAGCGGCGCCGTCGCATCCCTCAGCGCTGATGCCCCGAGCAGCTGCCTCCCTGGGAGCAGGGCTGTGCTGCCCGTGAGGCCCTAAGCTGCGACCGAGGCAGGCTCCAGCCTGCTTCAACCTGTGACATTATCATTTTGGGAACAGTAACTTAACCGAGGAAAGAGCAGAGGCAACAAACAACGAACAAGGAAACCAAGTAACGAGTAATAACGATGATACAACACTTATTGCTGCTACTTTCCTGGGAGCTCTGAGTAATAGAGAGGTATTAAGGCTAAATTGACATACTTGGATAAAAAGCTGAACCTACCAGTCATCACAGAAGCTTTGACACAACGGGACAGACCGAATAGCAGCACTGTAGTTGGGATGGATCCAGCGAGCGGCGTGGGGAGAACACCGGTAAAAGCACTCAATTTTCTTTGTGAAATCTTCACAGCTGTGGCAGGTGAGAAAAGCCACAAATGAACCTGTTTCTCAGTATCAAGGTTACAGCCTCTGTTTTCCAGACCTGCTTCCATGTGGATGCGACATTACAGATTGGGGGGTGGAAAGCAAGCCTAGGAAAGCATCCTTTCACCCTGTTTGTGTCTAGTTTCCAAACTCATTCCTTTGGCACCATGCACAGACTCTGACCAGGCAATTACCGTAGCCAGCTGAAGAGTGCACAAATGTTTCCATGCATATTTCAGCCCTATTTGTGTAAGCTTTCCATAAACTTTTGAGGCCTTGAGTTTTCCTGGCAAGAATGACTCAATAATAAAATGTAGCTTGAAACTATAGTACAAACCTTTTTCTAAGCTGTAGTCTCCTGGTTTCTCTACTCTTTCCATTTTCCCACAGCCCAGATGAAGTTGCTTAAAAACACATACTGTTGCAGCTCTTCTGGGAGGGGCAGGCCATAGCTGTTACTTTTGCACATCTGTTTTTGCTTAATTGTTTTCTACTTTCCTTCTTTTCTTTCTATAACTTGCCATGTTTCACAGCTCTAACATCTAACAGGGTACTAAAAATCTAAATTATGAAGACATTCTTCATGGTTATAAACCCCAGAGGACTCCAAGAATCTTTCTTATAAATATTCAGAAGTCTTGTTTCTGCTCTCTTTTGTGCATTTTGTTTGCAAGGCTGAGTCATGTAGCTGATCTGCTTTCTAAAGACGGGAAGGAGCCTTGCCCGTGTTAACCGGGGCACTCTGGTATGTGGTGACTGCTTTGCTCAGCTACAGAGGTGCTGTGGGGTTGTTACCTACTGGATTTAGGACCCCTTTGCATTGCCGGATTTTGGAAGAACAGACAGGCCTGGTTCTAAAACGAAAGCAAACTTTACAAAGCATAACCCCTTCTTACGAAACGGTATAAATCACTCTGTGCAAAGAGTATATGCTTAAGGATTCAAGGACTTTTGAGAGGGGAGAAAAAGAGGAGCAGGACCTTGGTCTGGTGAATAGGAAATATGATGGGAGCTAGAGTGGGTGGCATCCATCATCTTCAGGGCAACCTAGCAACTTTCCATCAGCAATTCCAGGGGGAGTTAACACTAGCTGTGTAGCTACTACGGCAAATCTCCAACGAAAAAGGACATAGACAACATCAAAGCTGACTTACGATTTACTGAGCTGCCCACATCTGTTCCAGTAGCTGTTGTTTATTTTAATTACTGGGGAATGAGCCAATTGCTCTGTGAAGTTTGCATAGCAACAGGAAGCTGTTAGGAATGAAACAAAGATCGTGCAATAAGGATTTTCTTTACCACTATATTTGAAAGACTACAAATTTAAGATGAATCTTCTTTTTTGGCCAATAACAAGGTAAAATCTCTTGGTACTGACTAGAGGAGCTACTCAGGCTCTTACATTTTTGGCTTTCAAAGTAGCAGCATAAACGCTAAATAAGATAAACTAGCGCCAATATTTCTTTGTAAAGATGTACAGCTCCCTCTCCTCCCTCCACTCCAAGTAGTTCAGTATTGTTTAGGCAAGTGTTATATAGCAAAGGATATTAATTTTGAAAGCTATCAAACATAACAAGAAAATTAATGTAATAAATATACTTGCTCTGCTTTGCTTATTATGGAATTTTGATTTTAACCCCTTTCAGGTGGTGTCTGCTCCAACAAATTAAACAATGCTGTTTTTAATAAAGCCACATAGGGATGTACATAGGGACAATAGCTAATGCACTAGTACAACCAAGACGGACCTATGTTTTTGAAATATGTTTATACTTAATCAGAATAGGCTAAATTCATCTTTTCTGTAAACTTATTTAAGTAGATGTAGTGAAAGAAAAACTCACATCAGAATATAAAAAAGATAATAAATAAAGGAAATGGAAATTTTGCAATTGACTTCATAAGAAGCAGGATTTGACTCTTGACTCGAATGCAACAAAATGACAACGAGGGAAGCTTTTCAAATGCAACTTCTACTGCATCTTATATATTTTCAAGAAACTAAAGGAACTTCCAGGACAATTAGTGAGTACAAAGCTGTATTTCGAGACTAAAATTAAGCTACTCTT